CACGGGGAGTCTAATGGTGGTCTTTGTTTTGCCCTAAGTGGTCTATAATTGTCAAAAATTGAGTTTGAAAATTTGACGTCATCATTTTTGAACAGGTTTTTTTCCGCTATAACTTGGCCAAAAACGAGACATCGATCTGAAATTTGGTATGTAGATAGAAGACGGTTGGAACTATCACATATATTCCGTTTTTTTTCGAAACACAAAACACTTTTTGGATTTTTTTGGCTAATATATCCAAAAAAAAATGTTTTTTTGATTTTTGGGGGTCAAAATTTCAAAAATCCGAGATAGCAGTTTTGTAGCCCTGTCAATTCTACACCTTTTATGGCGTGATTATTTTTTTTTGTATATTCAAAGCTGTAGGCCTGACAGCTCTTCTCGCTAAGGTCTTTTTCGGTCGAAAATGACAGAACATGACGTCATTATGACATCATTTGTGGCCAACCTATCATAGCCTCTGGAAAATGTTTTGGTCACAATGTGTAAAATTGAAGCCCGGAGGGGTCCTGATAGTTTGATGGAGATATCTCTAGCCGTTTAGGAGATATCGACGGAAAAGGACAGGGGGGGTGCGTTTCGCCCCCCCCTACGGGGCGCGGGTTAAGTGCGTTTCACTGTGAGTATCGATATAACTCCATGATAATGTGTCCAGATAATTACACATTAAAAAAGTAAAAAAGAGGTTAGTTACATGCTTCGACCTAAACTACTATTCATACCAGCGCACTTCAAACGGTAGCTTAGCGTAACTACCAAGTACATTAAAGACGAGAACCTCACGAGCTAGTCATACTGTCGCAAAGCGTCGTGACTTTGATTCACAGATTGTCGATTGTTAACATTACCCCAGAGTCTCTCGGGGCTCGCCCGTCCCCGTGTTATCTCCAGTCGCCTGTCTCCCAGTCCGACAGACAGACAGAGGACACGGAGGTGTATGTGCCAGGGTTGTATGATCACCTGACATCCAGTCTGAATGTGCGACGGGGGCTGCCGTCGCAGTGACGTCCAACTGAGGCAGTTATTGTTGGTTTTATCCACACCACGGTGTAATGATGGAGTGGGGCCCATCGCACATCAAAACCGAAATGGTGGGAGTGTAATACGCAGGCGCTAGTTCTGCGGTTACGCGGACGGTGGCGGCAGACTTTGGCGAGCTCTACCTGCACTTTTACACGCTGGGTTGGACGATTCGAGTTTTATGGTGCCGGGACTTCGAATGAGATCATCGTTTCCACTAGATTGATACTCGTTGTCAGTGTAATCCTATCTGCAATAGTCACAGTCGATACCTACGCGAAAGTGGTACTTAGTGGTGACACTTGTCACTACCACGCATAGCGACATTTATAGCTTGCACACTAGCAGGTCCAGGAAAGAGGCATTGGACGCTGCGGGCGAGCATATTCCCTAAAATGGACACTCAATATCCCAATAGTTCTCGGAGTTCACTTCAACATGCGCCACTGGGTAATTTATATCCAACTCTTTATGATACAAGATGCTAAGGCTTCAAGCGACAAAGACTACATTCATCGATTTTGGACGCTGCGGGAGGGCCCAAACGCCTCAAAACCCCGCCAAATTGATCCGCCTGTGCATCAGCAATGCTGGAGTAGCCAACCAACCAGCTAGGAACCCAGTGACGACAATGAATGGATAAACAGTAAGTTGTGGACGTATGTAATAGGTGTCACTACTCAACTACACAACCGTGAACTTTTTTATAAGCTTTAAATGCCCAAGCAAGAATACTATAAGCACCCCAAAGAAACCAGTCAGGCGATTCCGTAGAAGCGTTAGCACGCCGGAAAACAGAAAATCAGAAACACCTACCAACTGCCATAGCCGCGCACAACTGGCAGAATCTCCGAGCCCTGCCGCGAGTCGAGGAGACGCTGTCAGTGCGAGACCACAGTCGCCATTCAGGCAATATTGAGTTCAGAGCGGCACCCACGCAGTAACCGGTAAACGATATTATAACAATAAGAAAATACTTTCCCACCTACACATACGGTATAAGAACAGAGAGTGAAGACGTATAAAGCGGAATAATGGAAATGAGATAATGCTAAAACAAAGCGGATTACTAGTCCATATGTCCACCATGCTTTCATTGTTTACCGACGCCTGCAGCTACCTGTTAGCCGGTAGCCGGCATGGCTGGGGCATGACTGCGCATGTGAAGTAGTGGAGTTTCATCCCTATACAAAGAGTCCGGTTCAGTATTGAACGGAGACCGACGAACGCAGCCGAGTCTCAGACACGGAATAGCCATGGTTCTGAGGACTGCCTGGCTCGGCCTCCGAGGAGAACATCCAGCTGTCAAGGCCCGTAGCCGTGCACAGGCTGAAGCATCCGACCCTTCCCATCCATCAGCGGGGTGGGATGGAAGGTGAGGGCCGGCGAAGGATCTATCAACTTCCAAACGGATGGCCTTAGACGAAGAAAGGCAGCAAACGCAAACTCTCGGTGATCAATACCTTGGGTGACGAAAACAACTTCAAAGTGCGCAAGTTTCAACAATGTTGACCTTCGAGCCCAGGCAGAAGAAAACTCTAACAGACTGAGCGCATAGCCTTCTCACAGTTGGAAAGTTGCAGTGCTCTTCTTACAGGTAGTATCAGCCTTCCCAAAAATTATTACAGGTATTAACCCGGTACCGCCTGGGCTATTTCCGTACCCACGACAGCCTGGGGGGGGGGGTCGGATCCGACCCCCCCCCCTGTTATCTCGAGAACCAATGGTCGCATCGAGCCCCGCGAGGCGGCGTTCGAAAGGTCTCTACGAGACCTTCCCAAAGCACTCTTAAGATTTTAAGATTGAGGTCAACTTTCGGGTCAAGGTCAGGTCAAAGGTAAAATTCTGGGGTTTTGCATGATTAGGCTTACGGACAGCGGAATCGATAGCTGCTGCTCGAAACTCACCAAAAATGACCTCAAAGACCTAGTGAAGGTACCAAGTGCGTATAGGGGTCATACTAAGTACGGGTCAAGGTCAGGTCAGGTCACGAAAGGTCACGGTTTTCACTTTCTACTACATGGGCGTGCGACACATGTTTTATGGCTTATTTTTCACGCCGAATCCGATGGTAATGGTTATATGTGACCCCAATTCACTGTGCTGGTGATAAGTGTGCATTGAAAGCATAAAGAATCGTTTATACCATACATAACTTAACGAGGGCTAAAAAAGGTCAATTTTTCAACTTTTTATTTTTGACATAAAAATGCACTTTTCTGGACGAGCTTTTTCACTTTTGTCCCAGGAATCTAGCGGTGCCATTTGTTTTCACATGCGATGTTCAGAAGTGCCTCTAATTCACGAAAATGCTTATGACGTCACCATGCCCTATGCATGTTGGAGCTATCTTTTTACAATTTGGGGGTCAAAAATCAGAATAGAAAGTTGAAATTTGGGACATCTAATGTCCTAATAGAGCTCTATAGCATATATTCCGTTTTTTTTTTTGGAAATTCTAAAAATTTTGGATTTTATTAGCTGTTTAAAAAAATATAGTTTTTTAATTTTTAGGGGTGAAAACGCATTTTATGGAAAATCAGAGACAGCCATTTTAAAGAACTCGTTGAGCTGCGTCTATTCATGTCCTTAATTTGCAATTTGTTTTAAACCCTGATTTTTGGTGATTTTTTAAACATTAACCACTTTTTGACTAAAAACGCCATGTAATTACATCACTAAAATCGATATATCTCCAAAAATTTTGGATTTGTTTTTCTTAAAAATTGCACAGGAGACGTCAAATTGATGGGGGAAAAGGTATGCCAAGTTTCAAGTTGATAGCGTAAGCGGTTCATGAGTTATTCAAGAAAAACGGAGGGGGGGTCGGATCCGATCCCCCCCCCCCAGGCGGTCGCGGGTTAAGTGTAACGTATGGGAGAAAGTGGCTCAGGCCCCGATCCGATGCCATCCGTCCCCCAAAAATGGTCAAAAGCAACTTCGGTAAATGTAATCCATCTCAATCGTTGTTTTGACGTCATTCGGCACGCTAATAGCCAAATTAAGCCAGCTTCAAATTTCGACAGGAAGGTTCCATAGGGGCACCCGGCACATAAAACGCGTCAGAATGGGACAAACATTGTGCACCCCCCCCCCCAAAAAAAACCATCGGTATCACGCTTGGGACCGCAGCTTAGGTTTTCTATTTTTTAGCAACGAGTTCTCGTGTTTCATTCCGACGCATCTGAATAGCATTCGTGACACTAATTTCGATACTCTGACGATGCTCACCTGGCCACCAAAAGTCCTCGCAACGCAAATGTCTGGGATGTGGATTTCACATGAATCAGTGCTTGATGTGGCATGACAAGGCGACACTGGGCGCCCAAACACATCTTTGGGTACAAAATAGCGGCACAACCTGGGATAACTCACACGTAGTAGCCAACCAAAGCGATCCAAACGATCGGAAGTTCATGCAATGGTTAGCCAACATTGACACTTGCTGGGTCAGTGTCACTTGACAGCCGATATCTCAAAATAATAGGTATTTTACCATTACACACTTACACACTTTTAATTTATCCGGTTCAAAGAAAACTACTCAATATAACAATATAATTGATACATCTCCTTCAGTAGTTATATTACGTATTGGTATTTCTACGTCTGGAAATATATCCGTCTTCAGCGATCTACTTTCACGAAGTAAATATGGAATGAAGCCGTAGTTTAGCGCCAGTTAGAAAAATAAAGTAAGGTACCTAATTTAACGATCCAATTAGATATATAGGTAGCGCATACCGGAAAGCAAACACCGCCTTGTTTTTGGTATACCGTGCCATTGTGCATTGGATACCGTTGAAAGATATCAATGGAGTGGCGCATGCGCATTGCGCATACAAAGCTTGGTGCGAGCGTCAGGTGCTGTGTAAGCGCGCGAGCGGCAGGTGATGTGTGGGTGTGCGGGCACAGGACAATGCGGTGGCGCGACAGCGAGTATTCTGGGTCTCTGCAGTACCCCGTTCGCGGGTACTTACCCTCGGGCTGCGCCTTCTTGAGCTGATCGTAGCTGGGACGGATGAGCGCCAGGTTGGTCTGGCGCAGACCGTACATGGGGCTGGTGTCTCCGGCGGCCTCCTCACAGCGAAACAGGCCCGACGAGTCCTTGGCTAGCGTGCGCTGGATCTGATGGCACACGAGCGAGACGGCGAGGAACGGTTGGACCGTCAGACGAGCGGGGAGACCAGGGACGGGTGGAGAGACGCAAAAATGTACAAATCATTCATCGCTATCAAGTATAGGTACTCAAGTATAGATATAAGAGGCAATGCATCAGAGGCGTTACCAAGGCCCACGTTTCATACTATACACCACCCAGCACACGAATCTGGACTGTACTGCGTTTTTTTCAGTTCTCCGTCAGCAGCCTGATAGTTATCACGTCCAGCATCGGCACGGCACTGCCATCTCCAAAAACCACAGTCAGCTTCAGTCTGTCCCTCCAGCGCAGACCGTACGGCTCTCGCGAGATTAAGCGGTAGGTTTTGCACTTTTAGATTTCCGATTATATCTCAGAAACTAATCGATCTACGATGAAGCCATTTTACACGATCATGGCCGGCTTGTGAACCACGAAGTCGATCGCATCTTCAACACTTAAAAACTTTAGACGACGAAGATATAGCCTGAAGTACACTAAATTTTCTAGGTGCAAAACTTACCCCTAAAACCCGCGAGCTCACCTATTTTCCAATGTCACCTCTACTAACCGCCTACCTCCCTGACTCGCCCACCCAGTCAGTCTCGCCGGCCGGCACCCACCGTCTGTTTCCAGCTCTGCGTGGTGCGCCGCGCCATGGTGGTCATGCCCTCCCAGTGCATCTCGATCCAGGGTACGATGTCCTTGGCCAGCGAGAAGATGGTCCGGCCGTCGTCACGCAGCGCCGCCTGCTGCAGGTTGGCCAGCGCCGTGACGCACATCTGACTCGATTCTGCCGTACAGCCGGGGGAACAGCCGGCTGGTAACCGGGCACTGCAGTCCAAAATAAGAGCTACCGCTAACCGCACTCAGGCGGGAAACATCAGATTGTTGTCACTATGCCTCTTAAAGGTCAACGAGCGGCCAACCGAAGGCGAGTCGGGATTCCCGTTTGTGGCTGTTCAGAGAAACTAATGAACAAGCAACACAAGCACTATAGAAAAGATTATCATTAGTAATTTAATTGTGATTGACGGACGTGTTGACTGCGAGTTCACTGATAAGCTGTCACTCATATTACTCATAACTTTCATAATTTTCAACACAGCGGTTGACCGTAACACCGATGTCACCCCGCCGGGCAGCTGGTGATACCACTCACGGGCCTGGTGTTTTTTGAACGTCTCCAGCCGGGTGTTGGAGCAGTTGCGGCAGGTGAAGGTGTAGTTGGAGAGGAACGGCACCAGCTTGCCGAGCTGCAGCGAGATGCACGACTCGTGGTGGAACAGCAGGCAGCCGCTGCACTGCAGCTCCACGATGTTCAGGTTACGGCCCTTGCCGCTGCGAAGCGAAATACGCAGTACATAGGGTGACTGTGGCTATGGTGTCAGCACGAAATAGCGTACATACAATAGCATATTTCTAAACAAAATCATCTATCGGAGGACCAAATGGCAGGTAACATCATGAAACATTAGCTGGCAGTACGTTCACGCAATGCCCAGTCTTTTAGCGCTACCCGCCCCTCGTCACCGCTTGACATCCGGTCGGGTTTCGTGTTTCATTTCAATAATATAGGTAGATCACCGGCTCAGGGCGCGTCCTTATCAAACAAGTACACGTCTGCAACTATAATTATAGGTAGAAGTTACAAGCCCACATGTTAAATGCAGAAAGCAACGTGTGGCAGCTGATCATGATCATGATCATGCATGATTATGGATGCTTTGTATCCTAGATATGTAATTCTTTGAATCTGTTAAGATGGGAATAATAAATGTGGTTGTATTGAACAGAGGCCGATCATCTGCAGGGCACTAAGATTAGGCACTGTTAGCAGAATGATCATGAAAATATCGATACAAAAAATTTAATTGGTTTGAAGCTAAAGGACAAAAACAACAGATTTAACTAGCCTTGCATCATACTTCCAGCACCCAGTTTAGCTGGCAATTAGTTTAGCTTTACACTCAGTTTAGCCACCGGCCAGTCAGATATGGGCTGGGATTTGGGCATGCAGTTTTCTTTTGTACGTCCATGGCGCTGCACAAGTAGGGGAGTGCTTCCTGACCCAGGCCAGGGCACTTACCAGTAGCCACAAAACTCTTCCTTGTGCTCATTGTGTTTTTGGCTGGCTTTACCCAGACTATCACTGGCATTTTCTGGCTTCATCTGGCACTAATAGCTGGACTGAAACATCGGAACACGACATATGTGAGTGTCATGGTGCTACACATGGGTTGCCAATAGGCCAATGCCAATGGGCATTAACACTTTGGAACAGGGCCAAGAAGAGTTCACACCACGGTAATCCATCAGTCTGCAGCCACATATGAGTACTGAGTAGGTACATGACCGATAATTGTTGAGTAAACTTTTGTCCGCACTTCCTCTTCTTGGCATTTGTTCCTCAGACATTTCATCGTTGACTCAAATTTTCATATGTGAGTATTAGTCCCTTTAAACACAACAGTAGGAATTTAGGGCCCCATTCTTCACACCCGCCTCTTATGGCCGCCTTATATGGCCTCTTTCACCATACACCACCAAAAGACCCCAGAAACCCGCTCGCATGGCACTAGCTCAGGATAACCCCAATCCCTTGACTAGGACCCTTTCGAGATCACACTCCCAACTCTGAAGCAAATGGGGTGTGCATAGGGGACAATACTCCACAGTCCACACCCAACCAACCAAATATCATTTTGACCTTTCACCCTTGATGAGAGGGCACTTACATACACATGAACTGAAACGAAACAAGTCATGCCTCTACTGTTCTCCCAGATGTGCGATCACCATGGGAGTGGAGATACTGGACACCCACTCCCACTAATGGATCCACAAGAGTGGTACCTGGGTGGTACCTATTGGATGCTGCGGGGGAAGGGAGCATACACCTACAAATTTTGACGTAATTAAAAACGTTTTTTCGATAGAACCACTTGCTTCCTTTCATTGGCTTTTGACAATACTTGGGCAGGTACGTACCACTCGGTACCACTGCTTAGAGGTGGCTTAACCCTCGCATGTGTGCGGCGTTTGCCAGCTTCTAATGTGTAGGGGGGGGGGGTCGGTTGGACCCCCCCCCCTTGCCGTTTGGCCCCTGATCGAGCTAGAGCTTCGCGGAAAAAACGAGCGTGTTGCCCGTGACGAGAGGAAGCCGATGATACCCAATTTTAAGGTCCTAGGTCATTGGTTGACCTTCCAGGTCAGGTCAATGACCCAAAGTCGGGAAAATCGGGACCTGTTAGAAAGTCGTAAAGTGGGGCTGCTAAGGGGTTTTTCGGGGTGCTGATCACGAATATCGTGTTAGTTTTGATCACAGATGATGTCTTGAAGCATTTAGACCAGGTCGGGTCAGGTCAGGTCAGGTCAACCAGTAGGCGTTGTGACGGGTATTCGTAGTACGTGTCAACCGCCTCTGACAGCTTCGTAACATGTTACGAAGTCACCAAAACTACTTCGTAAATGTTCAAATGGTTGCTAAATTCGAATTCAGCTCCAAAAACTAGCCTAGAAACATGTAAAACTCGAAAAAGTGACCCGAGGTCACCCGAGGTCACCAAAGGTCAATGACCTGACCTGACCTTCAGGTGACCTTGACACACACGGGAGTAACATCAAATCACATGTTTGAACGTTTGAAACCACGAAAAGCTTGCAAACACGCGGCTGGTGCGAGCCGACATACGCGAAATCGCGATTCCGGCCAAACATGGTCTCGGAAAAGAGGTCACAGGTCAAAGGTCATTTGGGTCAGGGTCATGAAATTTTCAGGGTAGGTGTAAAATTGATCAATGCGAGGGTACTGAAAGTTTCGTCGCGATCGGCCGCTTTTTACGCGAGTTATTCGCGAAAAACCATGGGGGGGGGTTCATCCGACCCCCCCTACACATGCGAGGGTTAAAGTAGGCACACCAAAATCATTGAAATGATCGTAATTCGTAAGTCAGACATCATACATACCTACCAATAAACTGAAGCACAACAAACAATATTCAAAGTGCAGTATCAATAGTCTCAAACAAACTTTCTGAAGGAGAACTACATGACTTAACCAGACTGGAAAAAAATCAATACACTTCCGCGGACGCCCAGGGACTCTCATGCGCCGAAATTCGGTGCAAGCGATTTCGCCTAAATTTTGGCACGTTTTGTGCTGACAGTTGAAGCTTATTTGCGCCAAACTTTAACCTTAATTACCAGTATAACGCCTTTTGGGGCGACTAACGGAGCGAGCGAGAGGGTGGGCCTTGCACGTGCGAAATTGCCAGGGGGTACCTCCAACTGACTTGTGCACGGCACCCTACTAACTGGTCACTAGCGACGTGCCAAATTTGGGTACAATCGGCCCAGCCGTTCTCGAGATCTGGAAGCGGCACCCTGCACGTGCGCACGTGCAAAATGGGGATCAACTGACTTGTGCACGGCACCCTACTAACCGGTCCCTAACTGTGTACCAAATTTGAGCGCAATCGGTCGAGCCGTTCTCGAGATCTGGAAACGACCCCTGCACGTGCGCACGTGCAGCAGCACCCCAACTCTGGCACATGGATATGCATTGCCTAGTGGGTGCCTACCTACATGCCAACTCTCAGCGCAATCGGCCCAGTAGTTACCGAGATATTGCAACAATTGCAAAAGTGACACCTCTTCGTTTTGCACGTGGCACGTGCATAAGGGGTCACCCACATGCATCGGGAATAGTGCAATACTTGGTAGAAGGAATGAAGCTACCCTGCAAAAATTACCGCATGTAAATCGGTCAAGTGGTTGCTGAGATATAAGCCTCGCAAAAGCGTGACCACGGCCGGCCGGCCGACCGGCCGGCCGCTCATACTCAGAAATTTCCGTTAATCTAAGGAAAGACTACGCTCGCTTCGCTCGCTCCGTAACCATTTAAGCACATGAACATGCTTATCTATACCATAAATGTTGAAGATTGATAACAAAGTAACAAGGAGCCTGGATAAAAAGCCAGCTAAGCGAGAACATTTTCCATCAACTCACGATCTCAGAGGTCTTCCAAGTTCCAAATTGACGTGAGGACACGAGCCTAGCTTATGGATACAGTGCTTCAATATGATACATCTGGGTGCACCAGTCGTTGCTCGTTTTGCATATCCTCTTCCCATCCGCCACTATTAACCCGCGCACCGACGGGGGTGTGCGCCAACTTAGTACCGACGGGGGGGGGCGGATGACCGCCCCCCCCTGAGATCTCGAGAACGAAGCAAGATAGCGACAAGCGGTAAACGGCATCGGATACGCACGGTCAAGATCTACAATTTTTACTAAGGTCATTTTCAGGTCAGGTCAAAGATGACGTCACAGGGGTCGAAAAAGTCAAAATGGCGGCGCTAAATATGGAGAGAGTTTTTCTCGAATAACTTTCGAATTAGTCAAGATAGGAACAAACTAAGGGCATCATCGTGATCCTCTATTCAATCCGCATCGAATGATATATATGTTGACCTCGAAAGGTCAAGGTCAAAGGTTGACCTCAGGTCACGTGACCTCGAGGTCATCATGTATATCATTCGATGCGTCTTGACGAGCTGAACACAATGAGACCATCCACGCGTCTGTATCTTGTTCCTGTACGGAGTTATTGGCCAAAAACCTTTGGTGACCTTTGATGACGTCACATGACCTCACAGCTGCCCAACAGCAAAACAGACCTCAAGGTAGTGAAGGTTGATCGTATATGAAGTCATGTATGGTATATGGGGCCATTCCGACCCGTTTTAGCGGTAAAAACAGGGAGTTGATTTTTCCCCCATTGACTTATAATGGGGAGGTCGCGAAATTGACCTGACCTTAGGTCACCGATATCAAAATTCCGAGATATACAAATTGTAGCTACTAATGACCTAATAACATCCTGCGACTTTCAAAGGCCTCCGACATCTACTGTAGCTCTGGCACGGTGACAAAGTTGCAAAAAAGTGACTTGAGGTTGGGTCATTCAAAGTGACCTGGTGACCTGACCTTGAAAGGTAGGAGGTTCAAACTTGCACACCATGTGTAAAATTGATAAGGGAATAGTCATACCAAATTTCGCGGCGCTACGCGCCGCGGTTTTCCCGCTATTCGCGAAAAACCTCAGGGGGGGCGGATATCCGCCCCCCCCCGTCGGTGCGCGGGTTAACTACCAGCTGCCTGGCCTATGGTGCAGCCAGCCAGATGTGCTGCCAGCTGCCCGACTCCTTGAGCGCGCGCCACGCTGCAAACGTATGCCAGGGGCCCGGGGCTATCTCTCGCCCCTTCTCCGTGACTTTCTGCAGCGGCCTTTTTAATAACCAGTGCACTATTGCTATTCAACTCCAAAACATAAATCAGGAATATCGCTTGGCATAGCACCACCATCAGAACAGACAATCATCCAGAGCACTGAACTTCGCTCATCATATTGCACAGTGATGCAAATGGGGTTCACGAGTGGCCATAAATACAAAAAAAATCAAGTTAACCAAACCGAGTAAATCGCGATATGGCCAACCAACGAAATGTTTGGGGCATCTGAAATCACATAGTTTCCATGTTTTAAACCGGCCTCGTGTATGATTGTCAGAAGTCGTGACATTTTCTATGTCGTAAAATGACTGTCAGGTACGTGCAAGTTCAAACGCCGCTAGCGTGCGTTCATTTCATACAAACTGCAAAAATTATACATAGCAATAATCCCTAAAGCCTGCTGCTTCTAATGCCGGGTCACAAAAAGCCGTATCTCTTTTGGTTTGGCGGTGATCTAATCATCTGCCATCGTGCTGCAATCGCAGGTTTTTACTTAAAATCATTTGCTTTCGTTTCACCTACAGCAGTTTACACGGCCTTTGTTTACACAGTGTGTGCCCATTAGTCCACTATGTCTTAGCCTTCCCCAATCATTTCTGAGCCGCACCGTGAAAGAATTAAGGCGCTAGCACAGGGCAGACCGGCTCTATTGAAGTTTTTGTCCGGCGCGGTCGGGTGTCGCGGTGGGTGGCGGGTGGGCGGATTGCGTTCACCGCCGATTTGCAATTTCGACAGACGTTTGACTTTGACCTGCTATAAGTAGGTCAAATATTGACCGTAAGTCAAAAGTAATATGCTCACTCGCGAGATCTTATCAAGAGCAATCCGTTGTTTTTTGTCGCGAGGCGCTAGCACGCTTCGTTTAGGAACAGCAGAGGTATGCATCGACG